CTCCAGGTCTTCCACACCAACCGCCTCCTCCGCCCCGCCCCCGCCGCCCCCGCCTTCTCCCGCCGCCGCGCCGCTCGTCAGCACGCGCAGCTGCTTGGCGGCTTGCTTGGCGGCGCCGCCGCGCGCCTCGAGCGGCGCGATCAGCGCCAGCAGCGCCGGGTCGCTCCTCGCGCCGTCCACGCGCTGCGCGACGCTCAGGGCAAACCACGCGACGCCGCTCGGGTCCGCGGGCAGGCAGCCGGTGCCGGCCGGCAGCTGCAGCGCGGCTTCCAGCTGCTGCAGCAGCCCGGGCACCGTGTAGATCGCGCCGAGGAGCTGCTCGAGCTGCTGGCGGCAGCTGACTGTGCAGAGCGCGTCGCAGCCGAGCTTTGTCAGGAGGGGCTCGAGGCAGTCGCGCAGGAAGGCGCCGTCGTGGCAGCAGGCGGCAATCGCGGAACGGAGGCGGTCGGCCCCTTTCTCCTGTTGGTGTTCCGCAAGAGGTGGTGCGGCATGGCGTAATGCGTCGTTAGTGATGCTATGGTATGAGTAACTTATCTATCTATCTATCGTTAGTTGCATTCTGCGCCCGGTGCGGTTGCAAGGGCTTCTAGGGTTTACACCAACTGCCTTCGTGCCAACTATGCACCCAGCTGCTTCTTCTGGCCGGGGCGCTGCCGCCATCGCCCGTCGCACAGCCACCTCTCACAAGCAACCTTTGCTGTGCCGCCATTTGGCTGTCAAGTTGGCAGCCTTCTAAATTTGTTGTGCGAACACACCTTGGAGTGAGCGAGCCTGTAGAGCAGGTCCATTTCGTCCTCAAAAGCCAGGCACGCAGCCACAAACTTTGGACCGTCGTCACGTGCATTCCACCTCGCGTTGGGATCTCGGGCGACCTTGTCGAAAAAGCGCCGGCCGGCCGCGGCGGGCCGGCCGTGCGCTGCCATGGCCGAGGTGGTCCTCAGTGGGAATTGGGCGCCGCCGGTGCGCGGCGCAGCTGGGCAAAACGGACTGAGGCCACTTCGTCGCTTTGTCAAGGTTTTTATTGCTTCAAAACGCCTGAACGCTGGGAGGACTCTGCATGAGCACAGATACGAGCGAGGCGCTCCCAGAGATCTCATATGGAAGCGCCCTCAGCCTGGAGTCCGTGTGTGCGGCAATGTCATCACACTCTCCATGTTCGGACGATGGTGGCAAATGGAGGGACTGCGGGTGACGAGGGTCGCTGGTTGTTATAGCCGAGACTCCTCACGGATATCAACGCCTGGCGTGGGGCCCTGCTGTTGTTCAAGCAAGGTTTCGTGGTTGATGTTTCAAGTGCTTCCTTGCATATGGGGATCCAGAGGCGTGCTTTGCACGCTGTACTTATGGTTGACCAGTCAACATCCAATGCATACCTAACCACCCAGGACAACTGTCCATCAAACTGAGGGTGGTACAAGTTGACGATGCTTGTGTACGTCGTCAGGCAAGCAAGGGCTGAAATCTATCACGGCCAGAACCAGCAGTGGGTCATGATAGATGGATCGCGCCTGTCCTTGATGCCAGGACCCCGCGCACCTGGAGAAGATAGATAGA